CTTTCCGTGAGAAATTGAAATCCACGATGCTAGATCTTGGGGTCGAGGCGACGGGTGGCGGCGATCCGCGTTACTGCACCTATCCTACGTAATTCCGGCGCTTCTTCTTTCACTTAAAGCGATCTCGGTCGGGGGCGTTCGTGAATTCAGGTCGACTGCGACGATAGTGGGTTGGGGCACCGCCGTTTGAAAAGGATGCGAGACCGTTTGTTCTCTGCGGAAGGTTGATGCCTTCATTAGAATGTACGATGAAGCCGAACAGCAGAATAGAAGAATTGCGCGCAATTACCGAGGATCTTACGGAGGTATTTCTCACGTTAATAGAATGGGGCGAGAAAACCTATCGCGGAAGTGCCTATATTTTGCCACCGATTGCCACTGAGAGTAGATAGCACATCCGCGTGTGTTCTTTCAATACGGCGAAAAGGTTTGTCGATATATATGTGTATATTTTCGTTTACTCCATCGTTTTTTACACCGAAACGTTTACAAATTACTCTGTTCTGAAATGTTGCAAAAAGTTCATATTTTCTATCTTTTCACGCATCGATTTAAACTTGCAATTTTTTTCACTTTGTGTGTGTGTGTGTTGAACTTTCATTATAATCCTATATAAAATACACATCACAAAGGTGAACAACAAAACACTCCTTTATGTGTGTGTTAAAAAAATATCCTGTAACCTGAAGCTAGGATTACTGTTGCGTCATAACAGTATATATTTCCAACTGCGTATACTATACGCAATGATTTTCTGTACGCAGAAAAATCACCACGTTGCGCGAGAATGGAGAAACAATTAACACAAGATTTTTTTTTTTTTCATACGTTTTTTCCTCAAATTAGCACGTTACTAGACGTTTTTTTAATTCTGTTGCAAAAATTGAAAAGCCTGTTTTCGACCGGATATTCCCGCAATGAAATGTATCAGCTTGCTGCAGTTTTTGCGATAGAGAGCAAAAACAGACATAGAATACGATCTATTCATTTCGTACTTTTCTAAGAAGAACTCTTGCGAGACTCTCCTGGAGATGATTATTTTCTCTTTTTTTTTTTTGGCGGAGACAGACACGCGCGTAACGTGGCTTACGTCTTACTGCATTTTGATCGGATTTCACCGAGCGAGCGATTCTCGAGGACGTATATCCGTTTGGAAATTACACGGCGCCCGTCCGTCCGTTTCTCCCGCGTATATATCGCGGTAGACGTTAAGTCTGTTGGAAATAAATGCAAATGAAGCCGCTGTTGGCGGTCTTGTTAGCCGTTAAAGGGTCGGTTACGGGCCGCGGGAGTGTTCGCGGAAATAGCAAATCTGCACTTCTTGGCACCGCTCTTCGTCCGTACGGCACGCGTACAACGTGCACTAGATTAGCGCGCGCGAGCTCTAACACCAAACGTTCTCTTTTCTCGTTCTCCCCCCGGGCTCTTCGTGTCGAGCCGCAATTAAATTACACCAAGTCGTTAACGGTTTACGACAGAAGTGTGAAGAAGCGGATTACGCGGACGGATGGCACGCACGGCGGGGCTTAGAACGCCTTCGGAACTCATTTCTCGATATAGAATTCCGTGCGCGAGCCGCCTCTTAGAATCGAGATTGTCGGTCGGCCGCAATCGAAGCTCCGAAGTTTCGATCGTTTCTAAAGTGCACTAAGTATTGCAAACTTTTCGCCGACGCCTCAGCACCGTCATTTTTCTCCGCTCTCGCCGTGTTGTTATTTCGCACCACGAAATCGCTTCCGTAATATACAAACAACACACACGTGTGTGTGTGTGTGTGCGTGCGACGCAACCGGGCGTTAATCTATCGAAATTGACACGAATTCCAAGGTGATCCCGTCCACGAGAAGGACGAGATTGCCTTTCTCGTATCGTACATTACAACTCGATAACCTAAATGTACGCGCGTTAGTCCGTATCCTATTGGATAGGTATTGGTGCCGCGGACGCAGTTTCCCTGTTCAGAAGCTGAGCTGACGGCGTGCAATGTCCGATCCAATCTGCGTGTGTATGGGCTACGGCTAACGGATGCCAACCAGGTCTAACCGCTCTAGTGTACGTAGTATCGCCATTCCCTTCGATCTACATGCACGCATCGGCAGCGCAAAGCCCCAGTGTAACTAGCACGCGTGTGGATACAGCCGACCGAGAACGCTGTGTTCAGCGGCACACGATGGCCGGCCCGGAAGCCTCGCCAAAGGCGACAAGAGATGTCCTCTGTCCAAATTGCCATCCTTGCTTACACGAGCTACTTTTCCGAGCCCGAAGCTATTAGAGAGTAGCGACACATTTCATGTTTACCGATAAGTTTACCGGTTTGTACGTTGTCGGTCTTTCTGCTCCTTTTTTTTGTCAAATTATTCTTACATTATCTTGTATGTTTTTTTTCCACAAACAGATTTTTTCGTTTCCCTAAGTAACAATATAATTTATATTTATTTTCGAATTACGAACACACATGCTATATATTGTATTTTTTTTCTCAAAGACTCTCGCGTGACAAGCCTCGTATTTAATTCAGACGGTTTGACTCGAATAAAGTGGTTATCGATAGTGTGACTGTGTCGAACGGAATGTTTGATTAGTTTCATTCGCCGTGTAAATGTCAAAGCTACACACAGTTTTCGCGTGTGCTCGCTGAATCGATATCGCTACGGCCGAAGAATTTTTTTTTGTAGCTGCGATTTGCGCGCCCGGGCGTTTGTTTTCGGTATATCGTTGAAAATCACGTTGTCGAAACTCCAATTTAATTTATTTGTCGCCGAATGTGTTTCGTCAGCGATTCAAGAAATACATGAGAGATTTATGTAGTTTAGAAATTAACGTTTATTTTTGATAAAATACTGCGAATACTGTTATGCGATAAATTGTAGTTGTAAACAATTGCTTGAACAAGTAATGCGATTATTAAAAACACATCTCTTTTCTCTTTAAATTCACACATCGTGTTGTCGCGTTTTTGTTTTTTTTTTTTTACGAGAGTTCAACGCAAAATATGCGATCGCAATGCAAGAGAAGAATTTGTTGTTGTCGTGTCATTGTTATCACGCGACATAATGCGACTTTTCTCTCGCGATTTACTTATTCGCGGATAATGAGCTACGAACATTATATTTAGTACGCCAACTCATATCGGCTAGTCACGAGATTAATTATATTGTATACTGACCTAAAACTGTAGTTCGCGCCAACTACAAACTCGCGGACTCGTTTCCGCATTTGATATGATTCCGAAGTAATACGAATCCGGGTGAAGCCTCACTGTTGAATCTAGGAATAGCAACGGGAATAGTTCGTACCGTTATAAGCTTTTGTTGAATGGCGTGAACTGTGAGCTAAACGCTCCTAACTCCTGTTACTAGTAACTAGTAATTAAGCGAGGCGCTGCTGTGTGAAACGACCCGCCTCTATCCCTTGCGTCTTTCTCTGAAGGTTGCGGCGCGAAACACAACATCGTCTGCGCCTGTGTCTCGTCGTGCAGAAAGTTGATGGAAACGTTTGCAGGGAACGTATTGCTAAATAATGCAAGGAGATTTATATACGTACACGATATTTTGGAATCAATTCGGTTTATCGATTTATCGACATTTTAATCGAGACTTGTATCTTGATTTTTTTTTTTTCAAATTATTGTATCGTTACCTATTATTTTTGCCGTGTTATTTTATTCACTGACAGTTGAATAATGTCTCGTTACTCAATTTTTATCGATGAGATATCTCAGAACATTTTGTGTTTTTTTTTTTTCTAAACGTAGAACAACACCATTTGGTCGAGAAATATAATCAAGAAATAAAGAGATTCTCGTGCGCGGACTAAAAGTCAAAAGTCATATCGCATCCAATTCAGAATGATGTAAGATCGTCTATTATGTGGTCTCCGTGAATCACGTGACGTTCGCAAATGCATGCAAGTCTTGGAAAACACGTAGCTTGAAACGCGCGCGAACCTTATTCTGTCATAAGAATGATTTAGGCCATATTGATTAAGAAATTACATGAAACCTTCTCTTTTCATAGTTTTAAATTGCCATTGTGTCTAAGCGAGCGGCACGAATTATATGTGACTGGTAAAATAATTTATGTAGCGTAATACAATTTTTTATTAAGGAAACTTGTAACACGTTTATCTCAACAAGTTTTAAATTACTCAGAGAGAAAAAGAGAGAGAGAAAGAGAGAGAGAGAGAGAGCGAGAGAGAGAGAGGGAATATTTTTACATGAAACAAACATATTGATCGCACAAATGAAAGAATTACGAGAGAAATATTTCTAACAGAAATAATGAAACTATTGAGATTCAATTGCGCGTTTTTAATTTCTGCTGGAATAGTTGAAGCGTTATGATTGCGAAAGCGTAACTTTTTTTGTGTAATTACAGTAGCATTTCTAATACTTTTCGTACGCACTTTTTGCTCCCATTTCTGTCTACCTTGTTTTCAAATATTTCTATATACGAGAAGTAGTTCGAATATTAAATAATTTTCACAAAGATAATTCTTTGTATATATTTTAATTGTGTTTACAACACACAGAGATACGTAATTTCGCAATCAAACGTAATTTGATGTACAATAAAAGAATATGTACCTGACACAGAAAGAGAATCAAATATTTGATCAATAAAACAACGCTTTTCAGCATCGCGTTTCTCGAATCTCTCCGGCGAATTCTTATCTCTGAGAAGAGCCAGCGCGATCTCGAAAAATTCGTTCTCGATAGCACGAGGAGCGAGCGGTGCACTTTCGAAAAATTTGGTCCAATTTCGCATGGCGGCGCGTACGACGGTGCCCTCTCGACGACAAGGTGGCACGAGCAAAAGCGGAGCACCGTGCCGGAGTAGGGCGAGGGTTGGCCAGTAGCGGGGACGAGGACGGTAGGACCGGCGGAGGTGAAAGGGGTGGCGAATCTCCCGGCGCTCGCTTCACGGCGGATGGTTCAACGGACGCCCGTCGTCGGGGCGCTGCAGCCCGTCAGGACGTCAGTTCTCCATCGCACCGCGCCACGGGCGGACCTGATTCTCATGGGCGCGCGCGCACACACACACATACACACACATACACAGAGACACCCGCGTATACACGCAATACACAATACATACGTACATGCATACATACAAACGCACATATACACATAGTGACTCTCATATATTTACGAACACGCGAATCTCTGGACATCTTCGCGCGACTCCAGTTCGCGAACAAAACGGTATTAATCGTGACTATGAGTGAATCGCTCGGCGGATTATTCATCATCGACGATAAGAGGTAACGCGCGCGATTAAACGCGACCGTGCTCTCGCTCTGTCGCGCTCGCTCTTTCGCGCGAAATTCATGTGAGTGTCAGCCGGTTACCAAGAGCGAAGAACAATGGCACGTTTGAGTGACTGATTAATTGCACGAGTCGAGTGTGAAAAGAAAAAGAAAAAAAAACAAACAGAAACACGAAAGCGGAAAGAAGACACACGCTGCCGCGTGACGGTACCGGAAACGGTGGTGAGAGTAGTGACAGACCGTAACGAAGCAGGCAGTAGTAGAGAAAGAGTGCGGACAAACACGGCGCGTTAGTCGCGGACGTTGCGCGACGGGACTGTACCCGTGATCGAACACGGTGATTGCTGGTGAGAAGGTGGTTGCTGTGTGGACTTCAGTGTATCGGCTGGTACCACGATTCACCGCGAATATAAGCGCGGTGTCATAGCGGTGGGTCAACGACGTTGTCTATATGTTGTGTGGCATGTACCTGCGACAACGGCATGAACATGCGTCTAATCCACGCACGTACGCGTAACCGTCGCGGCTCGCCACCGACGAGGATTCAATTAAGCCTCCCGCGAGGAAGGTCAAGTACGCCATACGAGCGACAGGACATGCGGAGGGGTCCCGAGTTTTAATTAAAACTCGCCCGCGGGATTCCCATTATCACGCGCGCGTCTCGTATTCAGGATTAATTAGCTGCGCGAAGAAACGAGGCGAGGGCAGGTGATAAAGAAGAACGTGATTGCCGCTGGCTCGAGATATATATATATATATATATTTTTTGTTTGTTCCGTAATATCGTGCGACAGGTTTGTGCGACGCGCCGCGAGCTCCTCGAGCCCGCTCTCGTCGACATGAACGAGTCTCTTCTTCGTTCGAGCTGGCTCGCACAGCAGTGATCGAGACGTGTTTTTAACACGGCACTTTCGACCGTACGAATGTTCTCTCGCGGGTTACAGTTCGCGCGTGAAATATAAATCGTCGCTTGGAAACGAGAGACAAAGTCAGAAAAAAAAAGCGGAAAAAGTTGCGAGCTTTTTGCATCTACGCGCATGCAGCAACGATGTGGTAGTAAAACGATTCTCGGCAATTAGAGACAGGTAAGCGAAATAGATTCTAATTTGCGAATCTAACCTATGTAAATTGTAAAAAATTACTATCTTTTTCTCATATATATATATATATGTATAGTTTCTTTCTCTTTCTCTATATACATATATCTCTTTCCCGATGAAATCTGTTGAACAAATATCACATCTCTTCGGCGATATATGTAAATCGTGTGTAATTTTGAACGCTGCGAGTTTAGATATAATGTAAATGCAAACCGATGCGTTTTATCAATGTTATCAGTTTTCTAGCAGCTTTTGATTTATATAACTTTCGAGATGAGAAAATAACCACGGCAATTTTTCTTCCGCCGTATTGCCGCGATGTAATTACGCTTTATATCGTCGTGTATATTACACATATAGTATTTAATTGACGCATTGAATTGAATTTAGAATTATAATGCACTGCAATCTACTAACCACACACTGTCATATAATACTCGATATATTGTTTCGTGTATACCCTTGCCTCTATTTTTCGTTATAAATTGCAGCGTCAAAAGCTCCAATGCGATATTTAGTTGTTAGCTCGCTCGCTAATATGTACCTTAGGCTCATCAAATATTGGTCACAGCTAATTACATCGATCGAACGCGCGCTCATAATTCCATTAATTTCAAGTAAGTGCTCGATTTATTCGTATGAAATTGAGTAACGTATAATGTTTGTACTTTGGTAACTAGCAACATGACGTCTCTTATATGGGAAGAGCAAAAATTATTTTCTATACGATATAAAAATGAAGATCGATTACGAGTTGGCGAACTGAGTATAGCGCGAGCATATAACGTTGAGCATTCCATCGCGCATTTTTATCGCGTGCGCGCTTGTGCGTTCCTTTCGGAAGCCAGAAAATTGACAAAAATGAATAATATTTTGCACGTACATTTTAATTATTATTAAAAAAAAAAAAAACAGAAATATTTGTGGCTTACAAATTGCGATACTGCACATGTTTGTGTGCAAAGCGTGTCAGAGTTAAAAGTGTTGTTATTGCAAAAATATAGTTGCGCATATTTACGGCATCGGGGCATACATTTTTAGAAGTAACATTTATGCGAGAAGTTGCGTGTGTGTGTGTGTGTAGATTTTCTTATCACGCGACATTATCTTAACGCGTTTTTGGTATTTTAGCGGAAAGATGCGGCGCATCGTCTAAGACAAAAGGGTCGAGATAACCGCGAATTGGTGTGCCCGTTATCTCTAGACACTGTGCGTTAATTATCTCTATTTTATAAGCATCCGCAAACACTCGTAAGATAACCAGCAACTGAGTACTCCGACGTAGCTATCCAAGTAGCTCGTTTGTGTAAGAGATGCGGCGAGTTGTTTCGGCGTGTTAGTTTTGCACGAATAAACATCACAACGTTTTGTTTGAGTGGCAAACTTGGTTGCCAAAATTTCGCGGCGAGTATTACTCGAAAGTAAGCGATTTAAAGAAAAGGGAGCGCGATTCTTCGCGTCGCTTCGATCGCGCGCGATCTGTTACGATCGCGTTAAGTTCCATCAACTCCGCTGTAATCGCGGATTACGTGAAATAAATTCCGCAAAGATGTGTTTTCACGAGCGCTACGTTCGTATTCAGGCGCGTGAGAGCTGCATTATTCAATCGCACGTTTTTTCGATAAGCGGACACCACCACGCGTGTTTTTCTTAGAGAGTCTTATTTAATAGCACTTTTACGCGAACAGTGAGTTATTATCGGTTTGCTCGCCGGTTTGTCGCGAGATCGGTATCCGGGTCTGTGCCAGTGCTTACGAATAATCGATCAACATCTCGTGCGGCCAACACACGATAGCGATCCCCGGCCGTCGTTATTGCTCGTATATACCGGTAATGACGTTAATGGTCGTGGATGCCGGTTACGTGGTGGCCAATAACGCCGCAGAGAGTGAAAAATGTTGTTTGAGTCGTGTAAATAAACGCGTTAGAGGGCGCCCCCTCGTCCGTCAGTACGTGTCTCACGAAAGCCGGAATCACATGAAGTTGAATCGCGAGATACCGTGCGGAGTGCTGTCGTGCGCGCGTACTCTCCAAAAAGCTCTCTGAAAAATAAACGGTTTTTCCGCGGGACTGCTATATTGCGGAGTGCAACGCGCGCGCGAGTGTTATTTACCGCGCGCCGCATTTGGCCAGTCCGCAGATTACACTGGACGTTGAGTTGTTTCCCTAGTTTAGAAGGGAGCTAATTTAACTTTTTGTTTTAAATTATGGAGATGAGAGACCCGTGAACGCGTTCGTAAAGTTGCGCGGCACTAATACACGTAATTTTGTTGTTCGATATCATCATCGTCGTTATGTAGGTAGCAATCACACGAACGGGTTCATCCCGATAAATTATTCGAGGAGTTTTACAATTACTCGTGACAAACTGTAATTATCGTGAACGAAAAATGTACGCAAACGCCAAAACACGTCAAAAACATCCGGATCTATAGATGCCGACATGAAAAGGCATACATTTTTTCTCTTTCACCTATTTTATCTTTTTACATCGACACTTCTTATATAACGTCTTTTGAAACTCCTCGTTTTTGAAAACGTTACAAGTATCCCCACCGTAGTAATTAATGTTGATCCCTCACAAGTTTTCTTATATACAATTTCTTATATCTGCCGGGGAAATTTTCTTCAAAACATACTCTTATCTCTCTATCCTTGAGCGCGGAGCTCCACTTTCGTTTCTGCAACGTGGACATTGCAGATGATACAAATAAAAAGATTCTTATCGGGGAAGGGGAGGGATCTGACTGCGCATAAACGAAAGCTCCGCACGGCGTTCCGGGCTTGCTGCTTTGTACAGGTGCATCGCGTGCGCGCTCGCGAAAGTGCGTTTAGTCTTTTATCTTGAAAAATGCACCGGATGCAATTTCATATTTTATGAGCATTGCGCGCGGCGTTTCTCCCCCGCGCCTCAAATGAAGCAACAGTTGTGTTGTTGCCTTTCCCGTTGCTGTTGTTTCCTGTCGCACTCTAATCAAGTCCATCGTGACAATTGCTCGTTTCTTTTGCTATTTACTTGAAAAATGTGACAAAATACGCTCTTAGTGTCGTCCGCTTTATTCACCCGGCGCTATCGGATCTCGCTGCGCACGTATGAAGGTTTTACAGCACACGATGAATACGTAATGAGAAAAAAAAGGTACGCGGTTAGATAATATTACAACTTTACAAAACATATCAATATATAATTTATACATATATATATATATATATATACACATATATTTATGTTTATGTACATATCGATGCATTTAAGGCGCATACGTGGCAGCTACTCTTCACGGCAAGATTTTTTGCGCGATATCAAATTTATACACGTATCTATGTGTGCTTTATGTTCTCATCGCGAAGGAATATGCATGAGCCGGTCGTGCATTATGGAGCACGATAAAATATGCGAATGTGGGACGCGATATCGTAACTTTATTATGAACCGGAGCTGCCGCGAAAAATTCATTTTGTATTATTCATATTAGTTATGCGCGCGGCGCGCGAAGGCACCGCACCGTAATTCGGTAACGCGAAACGTATGGCTTGTGTGGTGGTGTCTCGCAGCGTAGAAACCGTAGCAAAGCGGAATTTCAGGTTTTCGAAGCGTACGTTGTACGACGCGGTGTAAAGTCTGCGCGCACACACAACCGGGCGCATAAAGTAAAAGCGGACCGGAATGAGAGGAGCGGGGAAACAAACGGGAAACGTGTGTCTGAAGGGTTGCCTTAGTTCGTGTGAGAGTTGCGAGAGCGACGGTGCCTGCAGATAGAGCGATAGCTACATGTTTTGCTCAGCGCTGCTCGCGCTGGACATGTATAGAAAGAGAAAGAAAATTGTAGAAAGAGACAGAGAAAGCATCATTTATTTGTCGTTCCGCTATTATGTCAGCTCGGGCAGACCAAAGTGCAGATACAGTCTTGTAGAATTAATTTTTCCCGCGCGCGTTCCAAGTTTTTCCCTGCTCTAAAACTTACACACACGTACAATTTAAAGAGATAATCTGTATGACGGTTTTAAACTGTTTTATCTTGTTTTCAAAAAATTTTACGTAATTCGATCATGAAGAGAAGAAATATACAGCATCTTGACAATGAAAAAGTTCTGAAAAGAAAGTAGCTAATTTAATTTTTGAAGAGAACATTCTGCTCCAAATCGGAGCTTACGCTCGAGAACAATCTGCTCCAAATTGATCATCAAGAGTACCACACCTGTGCGGATTTTCTCCGGCGCGGTAATTTAGCTAAGACATCGAGTAAGACGAGTCTTGACTGTGTAATTTGAAACTTTACACAGACAGTAGTATTTTAACGGATCACAAGAAATATTTGCAAAAAGAAATAAAATAATTGAAAAACAGAGAATTGAAGATGACAGAGATTATATGTGACAATTACGTTTGACACTGCGCACGTGCGACTTGTATAAAGTTAGACTGTTACATATTTGAAGATGACTCTCGAGACGCACACAACGGATCATTTCGTTAACGTTTATACTGACATAAAGAGTAGGAGTATGTCGCGCCTTCCTCAGATCCGTCCGAGAACGACGCTATCTCGACGTGACGAATGAGCAGCTTCCCGCGGCTATCTCGCGGAGAAAGAGAATGAGAGAGAGAGATAGAGAAAGAGAGAAAGAGAGAGAATGAAAGAGAGAGAGAGAGGAAAATGGAGAGACAGAGAGAGAGAGAGAGAGAGAGAACGTTCGAGGAAATCATCCGCATGTTCTGGGAAATTCTCGAATAAAATTCCCAGCAGACCACGTGCGACCGTACAGGGTGTTCCCGGGTTTCCCACGCTTTTCCTCGTGTAAGAGTTCTCCAAACATTCGGAGTAGATTTTTCCATAAATGTAGAAAGGATATTTTATCCAAGTATTTTTCATGTAAAATTTTCTTTCCTGCAAGATAAATGTTTTTCTTTTTTTTTATATATACATAATAAGAACTATACCAATAAGTTTTGAAAAATAATCGTAAAAAACTCGACGCAAATAAAATTAAAGTTCTATAAAGTGCGTATACAATGCTTCAAAATAAATTTAATCTGGTTTAGAAAATTATGTGAAATTCTACATCCAGTCAATCATTTTTAATTAGTGAAATATCAATTTTACGTTTTGTGCAAAATTTGATATTGAATTTTATATAAAATCTGTACCTCTCTCTCTCTCTCTCTCGCTATAGTATCTTTTATTATCAATGGTTTTAGTGCGTGAACTACGAAAGCGATTCGTTAGTTGAGCTCGATCCTCGTTTCTCCAAACGCAGCTCGTTGCGAATAGTATCGATGACGTTCGAGTGAAATTGTTCTCGGTATGAATAAGTAGAGCCGTCGCGTATTGCAAATTCTTTTCACGTATAACTTTTTAACGTACGCTATCACGTACATGCAGCAAAAAATCTATCGTTAACTGCAACCCTTTGCGTTCGCAGTGATTATTTTTTTCCCAAAATGACCTTTTTGTTTGCAACATGAAAAAATTTAGATACGTGGTAGTAAATAAAACATTCAACATCGTCAAATTACAATTAGTGTAACAAGCAATGAATGAATATCTGTTTCCATTGCAAAAATATTTGATTTTAATTTCGTGATTTTTTGCGTTATATAACTCGGAGAGAGAAAAAACCATCTTATTTGTAAATAGTTTGCTTGTATAGCCTGTTGTCAGTTAAAGTTAAACACAGGCACACACACATATATATATGTATATTGTTTCAAAGAAACGTGTAACTCTTTACACGCTTTTATAACCACAAGAATGATCAATTATCTTTTTTTTTACACAAATGAAAATAGCGCGCGCAATATTGCGTTGCAAAATGTACGCATTTTAAAACAAATAACTTTTATATATTTCGAGCCGCTATAAACGTTACCAATAAAAATAAAATATTAAAGCGTCAAAGAAAATAAAAGTGGAAAGTTATTTATTGTATGAGAGTTTTTTTGTTACCGGTTTATATTTATAGTTGAGCGCATGATCGCGCGCGCGCGCGCGCGGATACGCGAATAATTATCGTAGCGCTGTGTTGCCGATAACACACGACGCGCTTGTAGCACGCGAGATTACGCGTAACAAATTGTGACGCTAACACAATCGTTTTCTCGGCTATCCTCGCTGATATTCCGACGCGCAGTACTTAGTCGGGACGCTTAAGGAGAAACGTCGCTTTTGTAAGATAAACGCGCGGCCAAACTTGTAATATCCCGTGACACCGCACACACGCGGTTTAACGTAACGCGTCTTCCTGCTTCCAGGTCGTTCTAACGCACGGAAGAGGCGCGTATTATGTGAGGAGAAAGCCGCGCGACGAGGGAAACGAAGATGTCCGCCGTCAGCGTCGTCGCATGGCTGCTCGGCGCCGTCGCTTTGGCTGCGATTAATGGTGAGTCTATTTCTGTCACAATTATAATAGACTGCTGAAAATTTATCGTAAACCCTGTAAACGCGTTTAATGAAATTACGCGTTTAATGAAATTACGCTCTTGCGAAAAACACTTTGCGTAGCTCAATTTCGATACCAATGTGAGATTTTTGAATATTATATTCAACAATATCGTTTTTAACATTTTACAAGTTTTAGAGGGAAGAGGCTGGGAGCTTTAAATTTAAAGCTTTATTTCTTAGCATTGATCAATACTAAGAACTATCTTGCAATTCAATCACAGTATATTAACAATATATTATCGATTGCAGCGCGAGAAACAAACATATATATGGGTACGTTTAACAAAACTTGTGAATTGGAAACGGCCAGTGTGAGCCTAGGACACAGTTAATGTGTATATGTGTTAATGGAAATCTCTTTATTTAGGATCTCTTTATATTGAGTACGTTAAATTATTTATAATGTTTATATATATTGAATATTTTAGTTTTTCATCCGCATTTAATTAGTTTTACGTCACTTATTACCAACTGTTGTACAATTCAAAGAGATCAATCTGTTGTACAAAAGGGAATTGCTTGACACTATAATAATAATATTAGATTGTTGAAAGAGAGCTTGTTGTTTCCGCGTAGTCTTTTTTCACATGTTGTTCCAAACTGTTCGAAACCAAAAAAAAAAAAAAAAACTGAAATTGAAAAGAATAATATTTGTTGTGTTATCTTGTTTTTTAAACTATGCTTTTTGCATGAGAATCGGTGTATAGAATCGTTCGACAAGTTTTCATGTCGAAAATGTTGCGGTCGCATTTCAAGAAGCGCGCGATACGCGTTCCGCGCGAGTAGAACAGCATTTAAATTATGTGACACATATACAAAAAGCGCACAGTTTGTGATATTTATCAAACAACATCGAAGAACAAATGTGTTTATATATATTCCGCGCTTTATGCGTAACATATACAGAGAATAACCATTTTATAACGGTCACAATTTATCCATTTGCTTTTGGTTTTTGCGCCTCTTTTGTTTTTTTTTTTTTTTTTTTTTTTTTTTATTACGAGCCGCACGAAACGTGAAATAACTCAGAGATACGGTCGAAATACACGGTTGAATTATGGCGATAGCGCGTTTGATGGATTCGCGTTGCGCGTTGTTTGTATTACGAGCATAGTGTAGTGTCTAAATGAAATATATCTGTGGTATTTTTTGAATGTGCCGCACTAGCTTTTAAGAATATTCTGTAAATATCGTAGTAAAAAAAAGAAAAAAGAAAAACAACGGGCAGACACTCGTAGACGTATCGTAGAAACTGATTCGTGTAAACAGTCGAGAGTTTCTGTATCCGTGATGTCATTCGCGATGACCATTGAGCATAAAGATTGAATTATTTATATCAACGTTTTGATTGATAACAAGTCTGTCTTTGTGTATATCCGTGTCTCTATTTATATATATATCACAAATAAGTCTTAGAAACAAAACGATATTTTTAAGACAGGCACGCGCACGCGCATTTATTTCAACAAATGAATCAATTTCTGGCATCATTTTGATTCAGGTTTTATTTACATGTTTTTAAAGAATCGCTCATTCGTAAACATTACTTCGAATTCAATCACAAAGAGGATTTGCATTCGATTTGACGTGGTATTATCGTCCGTGAATTTTTCGATACACATAAATAGAACAGAAGGTTGAAGCGGGAGTGCGAGAGTGAAATCTGCAAGTATACAAATATGCAGATTTCCCGCGTAAAAGTCTGTGTTTTTTCGCTGATTGTCGCGATAGTCGTTCTGTTTTCTCCACGCCGAGTTCACGTTGAACAATATTTTGTTTGTTTGTTTGTTTGTTTTTTTTTTTTTTGCACACGAAGAAAGCGCTTTTTCTACTCGCAAGTCTACTCGTGCGAATCGTCGGTGGGGGGTATGTTCGAGGGGAAATTCGTGCGACGGCATACGAAATTCGGGGCTCGTCGAGATCCGATTGTCGGCAGAGCGAAGCACAATGATCCCGAATCAACGCGCGTACCTACGCGCGGATACGCATGCTCGGTCCTTCCCGTCTATTCAAGTATGATTGTTCGCTGATCCGCCTGAACTCTCTCTCGCTCGAACGAGAGCGAAAATACGAAAATACAGGCTCTGTCCGTTTCAATTGACCCACATTATTCGCGCGTCCCGGCGTCCCTTTTGATACCGATCAAAAGTCGCACGCGATATCATTCCTGAAAGAACAATCTTGTTTTTGCGAAAATAAAAAGAAAGATTTTCAACACAAGAGAAGAAAGAGAGACGCTTGTGTAAGACGCGTAAGACGTAATTTTCTGTTTCGACGAGAAAAAGATTAATTGCTGCAGGCTTGCAAAAAAAAAACATTGTCCCGAGTTTGATTAATGTCGATAGATGAAAAATATAGACACTTGTTCTTTACACATGCACGTCAATTAAAAAAAAAAAAAAAAAAATAGACAAAAACAGATAGTCGTAGAGTTGATGACGCGGACTTCATCGATTGTGCGAGCGTGTGTATGCGTGAAGAGTTAATTCTTACTGTCTCTTTTTTTTCATCTTTTAACGAACCCGATACCCTTCTATGAGTTGTATTCCTCTTTCGAGCGGCTTAGACGCGCTCGTTAGATCAGAATCATTAAAAAAACGGGGATGTGCAACAGCCGAAGTAGCGCTTGTTCGTATCCTCTCGTGTACCCGCGTAAACAACATGTACAGGTGACGGTCCTCGTCTCGAGCTGTGGGGTAATAAACACCCTTTTCCTGAGCAGACAATACAACCGGCACGGGGACGAAAAATTAACGAGGCGCGCGCGTCACGAACCGAACTTCATCTTCTCCGCTCCCTTTATCTCTCAACCACTTGATCTCGTCTGCGAGTGTCCGATGCACACGTGGGCGCGCGCGCATACACACACACACACACATACTCACGCGCGCGCGCGTTACGCTCACGGAGCGTAGTTGACACGCACACCGGAGAATGTTCGACAGCTGTAGCAACACGCTACGTTTGAGGTAGTAACGTACGTGTTCCTATTTCTGCCGCTACGGAACGATACGGGGATACTATCGGCCATTACAAGCAATTCCACGAGATAGATAAGCCCATGAGCAAGCAGAGATCCCGTAATTACGTCAGCAATTTACCGAACGTTCGTTGACGAGGCGACCGCCGGATATGACATTAAAGACGACGTGGCGAGAGATTTACGTTGAAGTCACCGAGTCACTCCGGGATCGTAAAACGAGTATAAATGGGCGACGGCGACGCGTCGCAATTATTGACGAATGCGACAGAACCACTGTCTTTTCACCGAGTACAGACATTACAATTATGTTTTTTCTTTTGTTATGTCTTTTTAATAGCGATAATTAATTAGAATAAATAGATATAATTTTGCTCGCTTATATGTTAATTATTCATATGTATGCATGGTGTTCTAAGGATTTTCGTACACATTGACACACCGCGAGATGTTTCCTATTTCACGGAATGGTTGTTAAAACGCGCCGTCATCCAATTTACAGATAATTACCGTTGCTTATTACTGCCTCATGAGCATCACGCGGTTATATCGCGACGAACGCGTTCTCTAGTATTCCATTATCGATGAATATTAATTAACGTAACGTGTGCGTATATCGCGCGCGAATAATTAAATTGTTGTAGTTGTCGCATCAGAGAGTTCGCACAATTCACGTGTCTTGACGGACGTGACGGTGCGTTAAATCGCGATTCGATGCGGCTGTATGTAATTTTTTCCCACGTGAAAAACGACGCGCGGTCGATTGTTTGGGATATCGCTCTCTCCAAGATTTGCGATATCTCACTTATTACAAGTCCGACAATTAGAAATGATATCTTATTGCAAGTACCATAGTTCGTCGTGTCTGACGACGGAGTTGCGCAAACTAGAGAAAGGGTCGTCGCGGAAGGGTAGGTTGATTTAAGCCCTGCGGCTAGGCGGCGGAAATCTTTGATAAGGCACGGCTACCGCAAGCGCTGATTGGTTGCCCGAGGCCTCGCGCCGATGTGACGTTCAAACAATACGCTCTATGCTAACAATGCAATCGCGGCCCAGATAAAGATGTATAGATCCGACCGATATCCACCTACCTTGCTTGTCCCGCCGGATCGCTCACCTGTGTGACATCCTCGAACATTCTCATTCGACTTTTCAAGGCGACGATTGATACGAGGTGAAACGCAATGTTGCGCATTTTTTTGTCACAATTTATTTATGCACAAAGACACACTCGTGTATTCACATGCGATATAAAATATTGAACATGGCATAGATTCGCACGTGGAATTTGCATCTTAGCGGGCGACGTGCGCGGAACGCGTTTAAATATGACGGTACTCTCGTAATTCAATTTCCTCGTACGTATGCAACATTGCGTTAGATGAATGCGCGCAAGAGCTGAAGCGGGTTGGGTTACGCATGTGATACGCCATTTCACCTACATTTTGCCTAATTCTCTTTGATCAGTGTTTCGCGGCGCGCTTTGGCGCGTGATTAAATTAATTAATCACTTCTAACCGGCGCGTCTTTGTATCTCTGTCGCGTTTTGGGAAGAGAGAGGGAGGAAGGCATACGCACACTTCAGTTTCTCCAACGTGCCGACGAAATTGCAAACTTGACGCGCGCGATATCGATGCTTACCGTTACAGCCTGCCGATACACCGTGTTTAGTGGCCGTATCACGCTCTTACTTCAGCGTATGTACAACATTACGGCTCAGGATACGGTCGCGAGATGTATAGCTGCCAAGATATACGTCGTTACACGACGATCGATGTCGCTGTATTTTTCTTCGACCGTCTATATACATTGGGCCCTGTTTTCCCGGGCGCGTATAATGAACGTCGTTTGTCGTTAAACTTGGTTGCACTTATAGAGTGAGAGAGAAAGAGAGAGAGGGAGAGAGAGTAGACCACTCTCTCTCTGCGAGTGTCGGGCTCTCAGCAACGTTGACATCG